CACAAGACGGCACCATTTAGGTTCACAGGATTCAAATATTTCAGCATGCTCGAATGCGAGGAGCTGTTCAGATTATACGGCCGGGAATCTCAGCCCCGTGCGTCAATATTCAGTGCACCAAGCTCTGACTAGCAGGCCATCTGGGTGCATCACCCCATCGCACTTCCCTGTGGGACGGGTTGCTGGTATCCTAGGGCTGAGTGGAGAGGTGGAGGGAACAATACGGTGAATCGGTTCATTAAACTGCGCCGATAGCATCAATTTGCCCGTGGCGTGACGAGTCTGTCCGCCTCTCCCGGGCACGAACAAAGAGCTCATCGAGGCGGAATCCGAAGTCCGCACCCGACCATTTTTATCATATTTGTTGCTTGGGTTGCCTTTGTAGCATCATTTGCACATGAGACTAGAAACCATCTTATGTGGCATTTTAATCTATCAAATAACTCAGTTTTCGGTACTCTGCTCTTCCCCCATCGTGATGGCTCCCCATAACCAAGCGGCCTGGATACCGGCCAAGAAGATGGCACCGTTCGTTGTCGGCGCAGCGCCATACACTCCACCTGGTCCCGGCCAAATAGTCATCAAGAACGGCGCTGTTGGCATCAATCCGTATGACTGGGTGCTGCAGTATCAAGGTGGCCTACTCGCCTCCCATCTCAAGTACCCCATGGTGTTGGGAATAGATGTAGTCGGCACCGTCGTTGAAGTTGGCCCTGACGTGACACGATTCAAGGTTGGCGACAGGGTCACTGGAAGCGCTGCGTCTGTTGCGAAAGAGTCTAATAGCCCTTCTGAAGGCGCCTTCCAGCTTTACACTGTCGTACGTCAGCATATGGTTGCCCTGGTGCCCGAATCTATCACCGACGAGCAGGCTGCCGTCTTTGGGCTCGGCTTCGGTACAGCAGCGTACGGCCTTTTCCACAAAGATTATCTCGGTCTTGATATGCCGCAGGTGCCACCACCCCCTAATCCACGACCAGGGAAGAAATATCCCCGAGCTATCATCGTAACGGGTGGTGCCTCTAGCGTCGGCAGCTGTGCCGTCCAGCTGGCCGCGTCGGCGGGCTATGAAGTCTTATCAACTTCGTCACCGAAGAACTTTGCCTATGTTAAAGGACTTGGTGCCTCTCATGTTTTCGACTACAACAGTAAGACGCTGGTGGGGGACTTTGTGCGTGCCCTCGAGGGTCGTGAACTAGTCGGTGCCTTCACCGTTGGCGCCAATGCGGACCAGGTCTGCGCAGCCGTTATGAAGGAGCGTTTATCCAAGATGCCCGAACTGCCGACGAGAGAGTTCGTCTCCCTAGCTGGTGGCAGCGGGATGAATCCCGACCTTATCAAGGGCATTCTTGGTCCGTACAGGATGATGCGTAACATGATGATGATGATGGGCAGGAATGTCGTGAAGAGAATACTGACAGGTGTCGAGGTCAAATTTATTTTGATTGTTGGCTTGGTAGATCCTGGTAGTTGCGTCTCGAAAATCTACCTGGACTTTTTGGGCCCAGCATTGGCCGCAAGGCAGATTGTGCCTGCGCCGGAACCGCTAGTCGTGGGACGTGGCTTGGAGAAGATTAACGAGGCCTTGGATCTCAACCAGAAGGGCGTGTCGGCTAAGAAAATCGTGGTGTCTTTGCCTTGATTTCATGATATTAATGTGTTGAACTAATATTCTGTATGCGAGGGGCGTTAAATTGGCCTATTGGTTGTATTCTACTTAGATAATATTAGAGTGTGATACGGTGCGAGTTATGGAATGTTCTCAAGAAAAGACCGAACGGCGAGCAGAGTAGTTTAACTCATCGCATGCTTTGAAAACATGATGCTTAAAATCAATTAAGCCGAGCCTATTATCAACAAGCATTTTACTGAGTTTCCAAAATTGTAGGCACACTGGAAGGGGCCACTCTTATGGCTGGATATGACCAGACGTAAGGTCCTCGCCTATTACTTCGCCGTGTCCGTTGGCTATCGAATGGCTTGACCCTACTATGCAGAAGAACCAGGACACCAGGGCACCGCCCTTTCACTTGACTGCAGAGATCTATCCCGTGTATATTAACAATTAGAGATGAATCTGTTCTTTTTTGTGTCCTTTTTATATATACAGAATTCTGTATATGACGATCCTATTGGCCTTTGGACGTAGGTAAAAACCTCCAATATTTTGGCGCCAACCGCATCGCTTCTAGCCGTCGGTGGTGTATCAAGAATTCTCATGTAAAAAGTAGAGACTGCCCCTCGGCCTCATATAAACTTCTGATACGTCAATTGGGGAAATCTACGACAACAACAGTGCCACAGCACTGTGAGGCAATGAAACTGTTCAGCCGAGACTCTCGAAACACCGCCCCTTGGCTTTCTTTCCCTTCCAACAAGACCCTGGTCATTATATTGATATTACGCGTCATCATAATACTCTCATTCTAGCTTCCATTGCGACCATCATTAGTAAGCTCTTTAGGTCTCTTAGTCTCTCGAATATTCTTGAAACCTAAGTCCCAAGAAAAGAACAATATGCTGCCAGCCACAGCAATGCCGAGATACATGGCATGATCAATTCCAACGGCGTAAGATTCCAACACAGCAATCAGCTGGTATGCAGATAATCCCATTTTATGCACTGAGCTAGCGCCGCCACCTAAAATAACGTCCGGGTTGATATCAACACTGGCGGCTCGACGAGACAGCTCCTTACGGAGGCTGTTGTTGAATATGGCGTTGGCAACGACAAGCCAGGTCGCGCCACCGATGTTCTGAGTGAAAATCACGATGGCCATGGCTGTAGGGATCTGCTTCAAGGGGACAAGATTCTGTATGGCGATGTATGGCTAGGGATAGATGGTGTGTTAGGACTTGAGAATAATAACAATACATAAGACAGCAATGCGAACTAACTTACACCTGATGTTCCTGTACCGCAACCCACGCCATAAATGAGCTGGTAGCCAATCCAACGTGCGGTCGATGTTTGGGGGTTGAGTGTAGACATGAGTCCATATCCAATAGTGGAGAGGCAACCGCCAGCAAGAACCCACGGAAGATAGTAGCCTGTAACCTGGGTCATAGCGCCCGTGAACACAGTGAATAGGACCAAACCCAGCGTTGCGGGAAGCATATGCACACCACTCATCAGAGGTGAATCATTTCTAATTGCCTGGAAGAAAATTGCAAGGTAAAAATCGGCCACAAGGGTGCTGCCCAGACTAGCAAACTGCGTCAAGGCTGCCGCGCGGATAACGGAGTTTCTCAGCATCGCAAATGGTATCATAGCACTGTCGCCTTGGTAATACTCCCACACCAGGAAAATTGCAAGGGTAGCAGCAGCTCCGGCGAGCAGACCTATTACGACAGGGCTCCCCCAAGCGTATTGGTTCCCGCCGTATTCGAGAGCTAACAAGAACATGATGGCTGCAGGGCTAACGAGGACAAATCCAGTCAGGTCGAGTGACTCGACGGCCGTCCCAATAACATCACGCCAATGTGGTTTAATGGCCGCTTCCGGCACATTATTGAAAAGGAGACACACCGCAACGACAACACCAAGGGGCAGGTTCACATAGAAGCACCACCTCCATGA